AAAATCCATGGTTTTCCGAACTTTCCAAAAGAAGGAATTTTGAAGTGTCCCAATTCCCAAATCCAAGACCTTCAGAATCATCTCAGGATCCTCAGATCTCCCTATACACCTTGACCAACCATCTATCAGAGCAATGGGTCAAACATGCCAAAGATGTGTTTTTGGAAATCCCAATCGAAAACTTAATTGGACAACGTGTCCCAGAGGTAATTAACTCACTAATTAACCAAAAATTCCAATTTCCAGGACCTCGAAATCCAAATAAAAGGGCTAATTTTTTATAATAAAATCGATAGGTTCTTCGAGATGAATTGGAGAAAGGTGAGTTTTTTTTTTCAATTATCTCGGTTCTTTTGAAAGATATCAAAAAGTTGTCCTAGTCGTGTTTGGGCTCATTTTGAAGTTCATGACAAGCTCAGGACAAGACGAGCTTCAAAATAAACCCAAGCACGACTAGGCTCCGCCCACTTTTCCATAGACACGCTACGCACGACCGCGACGCGCCGAAATAATCAAAGTGGGCGGAGCCTAGTCGTGTTTGGGCTCATTTTTAAGTTCATGACAAGCTCAGGACAAGACGAGCTTCAAAATAAACCCAAGCACGACTATGCTAAGCCCACTTCGAAATTTCCCAATGGACACGCGACGCACAACCGCGACGCGTCGGAAAAATTAAAGTGGCCGGAGCCTAGTCGTGTTTGCGCTCATTTTGTGGCTAGTTTTGTGCTGAGCTTCAAAATGAGCTTCAAAGTGAACCCAAACACGACTAGGCTCCGTCCACTTTTCCATAGACACGCGACGCACGACCGCGACGCGCTTGGAAAACAAAAGTGAGCGGAGCCTAGACAAAGACATTGCGCCAAGTGGTTTTCAAGGTTTAATGGCTCAAATTGAATTCCGATGCTTTGAAGAAAATTTTTACAAGAGTTACCGTATTTTCTACCACTTTTTCTACTAATCCTTCCACCAAATTTGCCACATCTTCAAGAATTTTCTCATCGCCTTCTTGAAAGATCATGGGTATATTTGAAGCGGATGTGTAGATATTATGGTTTCTGAAAATGATGGCTTCTGAAAATTCCGATTTTTGAAATTTTAAAAATTCTGAAATTTTCCACTAACGTTGTATTTTCTCAACTTCCACCGCCAATTTTGGATAGTTTTGTTGCCTTTGGAGCAGTTTGAATCGATTCAGATGCTTCTCGAGATACTATTGATTTTCTGGCGTTTTTGAAATTTCTGGGAATTTCCTCCGTGTAGCTGGTCTTCGGATTTGGATCTTTTGAGACGTCCTGAATCGTCTGGACGATTGCTCAGCTTAGTGGTATCTTCAAAATCCGATTCGATGCTGGAAAAAATTTAGTTTGAAAAATTTGAAAAATATTTCAGAAATTTAGAAACTTAGAAATTCAGAAATTCAGAAATTCAGAAATTCAGAAATTCAGAAATTCAGAAATTCAGAAAATCAGGAAACTCACTCATCAGGAAGATCGGCAGGTCTTATCGGATACGGTATCCTCAAATCATGGCGCTTCAAGACAGCTGTGACTTTTCTGGGGACCCATTTTCTAGCCTTTCTCCATCTGGTTAGTGGTTCCAAACCCATTTTTCGTCTTCTGGCTGAAATTAAACCCATTCTGATCCTCTTCGGACGGGTTGGGTCTGTTGGTCCATGATTTCTAGGGTTCTTACGGGAGGCGCGGCTTTTGGGAGGCATTTTTGGCTGAAAATTTAGAAAATACAATAATTGGACTTGTCGAGAAAAATATCAAAAAGTTAGAAACCAAAATCCATGAAAAATGGTCCAAAATCCATGAAAAATGGTCCAAAATCCATGAAAAATGATCAAAAATCACCGGACCTATCTACATGGCAATGGCCCCCCCTGGGAAGGAAAATTGACCGGTAGGGGATAAACGGACCTAACTGAAGTAAGGAATGCGCATGTTGAGTTAAGTATGAAATGCGATGACAAGAATATGGAGAGATTCGGTTGATTTTGAAGGGACGGTCTGGGAAAAACTACAGTAACCCAGACCATCAGATGGACAGATGGCTAGAATGTAAAGCTAACGAAGTTTGTAGAAAGTGAATTAATAAGCTTGTGAATTAATAAGCTTGTCAAATCGTAAAAAAACAAAATCCAGTAACTTCCTAACATGAAATAAAAATTTGTTGACCTATTATATTGTCGAATTTAAAAAAAGTGGGACCTGAGAATTTGAAAGGCGTAGCTTTTTTTTGATCTACGAAAAAGTGCGGCAAAAACGTAATATTTCAGACTTTTACATCGATCGAGCTACTTTCGCAATTAAGTTCGGTTTTTTGATGAAAAATATATTCTAGAGATGCTAACGATCATTTTCATACCGAGAAATCTAAATTTTGTCTAGAAAATCCTACTAAATTCACAGAAATAATTTTTGTTTACTACCGTAGTGTTTTTGGGGCAAGGCCTCGAAAATTGACCGGGAAGCCGCCCGCGAAATTTTCCAGGTCCCACTTTTTTTAATTCGACAATAATTGGGCTTGTGAATTCTTAAAAAACCAAAAAAAGCCCCCAGGCGGGATTGAACCGCCGACCTTCTGTTTACGAGACAGACGCTCTGCCACTGAGCTATACGGGCGACGTTAGTTATGCAAACATTAAACATACATCGATGAAATAGTCAGCAGGGTTTGTATGGTCGGGTACTTGGTACCCACATGCAGAAAAATGATGAATAGCCTCGTCAATAGCGCCATGGAATGCGATTTGTCCTTGTGCAAGAAACACGACCTGGAAAATTATGAAATTTTTTGGTGAATTCGGTAGGGCGCATTTACCTTATCGAAAATTTCAAAAACTTCTGATGATGGTTGATGGATAGTGCAGATGATAGTCTTTCCCTTTTCCATAGCCATCGCTTCCAGTGTCTGAAATACTTGTATTATTTTTACTGGGATTACTGTAGCTACTCACTTTGACCACTTGAAGGGACATATGAGAATCCAATCCAGTTGTTGGCTCGTCGCAAAATATGATTGGAAGATTGTTGATCATTTCAGTGGCAAACGCTAATCGTTTCATTTCTCCCCCGGAAATTCCTTTTTTGATTCCCGGAATTCCGATTCGACTGTTCTTGGGTTTCTCCAAAAGCATCTCCTTCATCACTTCCTCGACTCTTTTAGTTCTTTCAGATGATGATGTTCCAGGTGGAAGACGAAGTTTCGCTTGGATATCCAAATGTTCTTTTACATAAAAATTTATATATTTTTCTTCGAATTTAAATATTAAAAACAAACTGTCAGTGTTCCCATAAAAAGATCCTCCTGCTGAACATATGCTGACACACTGGTCACTCCTTTTCCAATATTCTGTCCATTCACCAGAATCTCCCCTTCTACTTCTAATCCTTTCAGATTCCTCTGAAGCAATGTATTCAAAAGTGTCGTTTTTCCAGCTCCACTAGCTCCCATCAAAGCGATCACTTCTCCCGGAACAGCACATCCACTAACACCATTCAGAAGAACTCGTCCTGCTTTCGTTGTTACCTGAATTTAACTTTTTGAATAAAAAACCTGAAAATTTTTCTGAAACCTTCAAATTTTTCCATTGCAACGTCACCAAATTGTCCCTTGCACTCAAAAGTGTCTTTGTTGTCTCTGAAATTTTCGATTATTGGGTTCAAAGACCTTTTTGTCGTACCGTTTTTAGAGGATTCCATTTTCTAGAAATAGTGGGATCCTACCAATCCACAAATCTTTGTCAAATGAGAACGTGGCAGCTGTTTGGAAAAATTGGACTCTGGAACCTAGATTTCCTTTTCACATTCTATTTAAGGGGACTGGAATCCTATAATATAGGAGCCCCTAACTTTTAACTTTGAGCAAATTTGCTTTCAAAGATATAAAAAGATGCTAATCGATGAACTGTTCAAATTAATATCAGAAACATTTTATCAGTTGACATATTTTTGATATCTTGCACAGGAATCGAATAGATTCAGCTCAAACTTGACACTGTGGGGTACTTCTATTATTATTTTTTATGGTACCCTCCAAAAACATCAACCAAACAACACTTTTTGTATTTTTGAATTTTTATTCGACTAGTTTTTTAGTGAGTATAAAATCAGATGATGTGTAGAGTTCAATAATTCAAGTTCTTCTTGTAGTGTTAGTTCATCTCCAGCGGATGATAATTCTAAATTAAATTAATAATAAAATTCGTTGATTCAGTGTTTCGAACTCACTTGTTCAGTTCTATAGTACAAATTTTCGAGTTCCATATCTTGTGGAGCCCATATATCATGATGAAATCCTAACAAATGATGTCCAATTTCATAAATATGCTCTTTTTTGCATCCAGGGACAATAATTGGATTCCAACCGTATTCTGGAATGTAGACGTCCTCATTTTCATTAATTTCCACTTCCTCTTGTTGCTCCTCTTGGATTAATTGTTGAATCATCTGACGTTTTATCGGAGCATACTGTATTGGAGTGAAAGGAACAGGGTACTGTATTGCGTGTTGAATGGGATACTGTAGTTGTGGGTAAGGAACGAAATAATCAAATGGATACGCATTTTGAGGAGGAGGATGGTACGGTATTTCTGTCATCCCATATCCTCCATAAGCCGGCTGCCATTGGACAACTTGTTGTTGAGATTCTTGAGGAAGAAGTTTTAGAGAAAGAAGGCTTGCTGGTTTCTCTTCTTCAAGGGGACTGGAAGGAAGAAGAGGACACACTAGATTTGCTTTCTTTGCATGTCGAACTGGTATAGATTGATAGCTTTTGACAGCAATGAATTGAAGTAGATCAAAACGATAATCGATTGAAACTCCAGTTGAAACATTTACGATTGAAAGGATTGGAATGTATTTGTGACCTGGTTCCAAGTATGCCTGAAAAAAACGTTCGATATAGTTTTTAGTTATTGGGTTACTGTAATTTCCCAAAAAATCAGATTAATTTTTGTCACCGAAGTTTTCAAAACTCACCATATTCCGTTTCATTGCCCCAAACTCTCTCGAAATCCGCATTTTATCAAACTGTACAATTCTTGAGTGCCACGTGGCACCTGATTCCTTCCGGCTTTCAGCTACTCCCATTTTACTGTAAAACGCATTCTTGACACACACGGACACTGGAACCCATTGATTTCTCCTGAATGTGTATCTGAAATTGGGTTTTTTTGTGAATGGGGTCTTTTGAAATTATTCAAAATTTTGAAGCTAAAAATATCTACCTTGACTCGTCTACCAATTCAATGCGTAACTTCATCAAATACTCTTCATCATCCACCAATCCACTGATCACAAACTTTGGCTCCGGTTGCAGTTTGGCTCCACTCCTATTCACGATCATCTCGTTGATCGGTTCGAATTCTCTATACTTTTCTTCGTCCACTATGACGACCTGCATTGTTTTGGCAACAGTAACGTATTCTGAAGAACTGTGGGGATTCTCTGTCTCTGTTGAGTAGAACGGTAGCCACACGTGGTTGCCGATGGAAGTTTTGGTGGATTTCCCTTCATCACGTTACTAATTATGGTTTTCTAGAACTTTAGGGCCGGAGCCGACAATTGGGGAGCAAAACTTATGAACTCTTGTGACACAGATCTAGAAATATAGCTTTTTCTAATTCTAGTTATATATTCCGTTTTCCCTATTTTTCTAGAACATTCCCTATCTGCCAACTCGCAAACATCATATCAGGTTACGGTCAGAAGATTAGAATCAGATGACGTGACCGTCTATCCCTCTAGACATCTGAATCCCTTTCTCCCTCTCCTCCAATTTTCCTTTTGTCTGGAAGGAGACGTAAAGTGACATGTTATGTTTTTGTAGCAGCAACATTTCGCGCGCGCGCGCACTCTTGAAAGCTGACCGGAGAACCGATCGTCTTTTCGGTCATGATAAAAGTGCCGCGCGCAACGACCTTGTGTCTCTCATAAGTAAATTGAGATTAGTCACATGTGACTCGTTACGAAATTTTCTGTATATGTTCTGAGATACGAGTCCTCGTCGATCGCGTGATTGAGGTTTTGTAGACAGCGACTTGAATTCTAGCTTGGGTACTGTATTTCATATAACCACTATGTGTTCTATTATTTTGTTACGAAGTCAATGATTCCGGTACAAAAAAATCGAAGCTGTGGGAGAGAAAAGCCGGTGGTCGTCGCCGAGGGTCCCACAACGACAACAACCGTAACCTAGAAATAATTTTATTTTCACGATTTATTTTCTCTTTTTTCACTGATTTTCTTCGAATGTTCTGTTATTTTTTCCCCAAAAAAGTCGAAATTTTCGATAATTGACTGAAAAAGAAGGAAAATCAAGAAAATAAATCCTCGGAATAAAATTATTTTTAGGTTAGAGTAGTCGCCGCAGTGGGACCTTCGGTCACAGCCACCGGCTTTTATCTTCCTCAGCTCCGATTGTTGTTGTACCATGATAAAATATGTTCTATTTTCTAAATTTTCATTATCCAAATTTTGAAAAATCTCCAGACCAGCAGGCCCGTCTGATTTCGGGCAGGCCCCGGAGTGTGCAAAACAAATAATTCGGAAAATTCCAACCGAAATGCTTCGAGAGAAAAACATGTCTTCCGAGTTTGGAACCATCATTCTAGAAGTCCCAAAAACCAAGCATATTCCTATATCGAGCTTTTTGAAAACTCAAAATATTCAGAGATTCTGAAATTCCTAAAAGTTCCATACCGTACCCCATGGTCTCGCCTACGCCCGTTTTTACATATATCGTCGGGAGCCCGCTCTAGCTTCGCCCGCGTACCTTTTTTATGCCCCCCCCTTTTTTTTCCGGACGGAAAACTTTATAGAAAAATCTCAACTCGGTCATTTGCAAGTTTTGAACTAAAAAAATCATCTTATTGACTTCTGTTCACCACCACTCGATTGCATCCACATCTGCTCCCTCCTTTCGGGTCAGTCGTTTTTCTTCCGCCTAAAATATTTACATCATCTCTTCGTTTCAGGCGGTGTGCATGACAAAAGTTTCGCCGCACAGACACTCGAAATGTTTATATTACATTGACAGGAATGCTGGTGGCAGATGTGTGTTCCTGTGGTCGCCTCATTTTTCATTAGATTTTGAAGTTTTATATAGTTTTGAAGAGTAAACAAGATTTTTAGTCATTATATGAGTATCTGCTAGAGGTAGATGGAATCTTGCTTGTCTAGCTTTCCGAAGGAAGGTTTTATAATTTACAACTCTTATACTGGTGCGAAAAAAATCGGAGATGTGGAAGAGAAACGCTAGTGGCAGTGCAGTAAATACGAGAAAAAATCCCGAAAAAAATATATTTGGGTTACTGTAGTTTTCGCTGTGTGTTTGACCAAGCCACCGGAATTTCTCTTTCACGGCTCCGATTTTTTGTACCATGACACTCCTCTGACCCCAATTCCTCGCAGCTGGTTAAACGGACATTTTCTAGGTTCTCTCTTGTTCCGTTCCACGTCACAGACTCCAACTCTCAGAGAGCTCAAAACTTATCATTGTATAGACTCTATCTTTCTCTGAAAAGTCAAATCAAGCAGATACTAATCATAGCCTTCTTCATTCAACAGAGCAAAGAGCTCTAAGCCTCTTTTTGAATATGTTGTCTTCAAGTACAACGGCATTGTGTTCGTCGTGCCAGGTACCAGAGACAGGTTTTGTATTTTTTCGAAAGAAAAAAACAAGATTTTTGTAGGGATACTAGTAATCCAGACCAGTTTTGAAATCTATACGAGATCAGATGTCTCATAGTTTACATTTTCGTAAGAAAATTCCGAATAAAGTACACAAGACCTCATAAAATCAGAAAAAGGTCGTTTTCGGTGTTGAGTCGACTCTCGTCTCAATCCAATGAAAAATTCCGTTTTTGTTTAGAAATTCAGACAATTTCAGTGTAGTGAGGCAAAGAGTAAACCAAGTAGGAACCAATGAGAAGTGTGTCTAAAATGTTTGATTTTCTGAAATTTCGTCCACATTGATAGTCTCACATTTTAACAGAGCAGTTTTTTCAGGTTTTAGAGCTTCAAAGTAGAGAAATTTTGAAAATTTTACTTTTCTAAAACATCATAACGCGCGTTGTGGCAACTTGTGACCAAAAATTCGAGAGTGGGCAAGGTCCGGCAGCGAAATCTTTAAAAGAGCATGTAATTTATGTGATATATTTCTGGCCTATTTTTCTTGTCTTTGGATGACTTTTCGTTCTTGGAAGAAAAACAAGAAATTTGTCGAATCATTGAAAAAATTGGTGAGAAAAAAATAACGAAAATTACATGTTCCTTTAGGGATTTCGCTACCGGACCTAAGCTCCGCCCACTCTCAAATTTTTGGTCATAACGCGCATTGAAATTGACCAGACTAATATTTTAAGATTGTTAAAATTTCAAAATATTCACAATTTATGTACTTTTAAACTCTTCAATCCCAAAACAACTATACTTATATAATCCTAAGGATTTTGCTACCAGACCTAAGCTCCGCCCAACCTTGAAATTATGAAAAATTTGAAGATTTGAAATTTTTTAAATGTTCATTTGAAAAATGGAAAGTTCTGATATTTAAGATTGCTTTTTGATACTCAGAAATTCGACTCATATTAAATTCAGTCATTTCGATCGCTGGAAAACCTTTTTTCCTAAAGTCCCCTTTCCTTCAATATGTGATCCTATTCATGGCCATACTTTCTCATATTTTGACCCAACCTCACGCATTAATGTTCATCCAGAATCCAATCAACACCATCTCCTTTCTCTCCATCTATCTTCTCTCCAACTGTTTCTCTTTTGTCGAGTCCATCCATCACTTGGCTCCAATGAGTCGGATCCTTCGGGGCGCCTCCTCACTCTCTCTTTGACACGGTGGCCTTTTCTAATGAATTGAAAAAAGATGGAATACAGTAGACACATGTTGAAAGAAGAAGCAATTGTCTGTTGTCTCTCATATCTCCCTACTCTCTGCCTGAATTCCTTGGCTCTCCGTGAAATATGGTAATCGTTTCTCTGTGTCTCCTGTTTCTACAGTATCTTTTGTTTGCAATTCACATCAAAGGATTTTTGATCGAATTAGAAAGAACTATACAGACTGTGATGGAGCATACAATGTTTGATTATAATCTCTAATATACAATCAAAAAGTCTCATATTTCGAATGAGAGTTCATTTTTTAGATATATCAGCTCGGAAATCGTAAACTGCAGCAGCAACTCGTTGTGTGAAAAGTGCAATGGCGGAGGCTCCTAACTTTGGCGCATTTCTGTCCTCTTTCAGGCGTGAGTTACATTTTATTCTTTCTAGAAGAGTTTTGATTTTTGGCTCAATGACCCAATCTCATTTTCAGGTTTAGTCACAGAAACCCCAAAACAGGGGGTGAAACATTATGAGGGACTACCTTTTATTATCTTCTAGAGAGATTGTGCGGACATTTGACAGTATGGGGGCCCTTCTATTACAGGTCTTACGCTATACTTTTGGCAAAGTTTGAGCTCCATAGTTGTCTTGTGAATTACCGAGACCGCATTTCTGTGGGCAAATGCGGTACGGTTTCTCTGATAAGACAACATCCAAACATGAAATTAGACTGATCATAAAGTATCCGATCCCCACTAGCTAAGATCCTATCCGAATTCATAGAATAGGGTACTACAGGGAGACTTCATTAGACTCACCGCGGGTGTCTTCTTTCTGAAGATTTATGGGTTTAGAGGAGACAGAAAATGGTAGAGAGGAGAGGGGAGGAGTCAAATACCATTATTCTATGAGAGAGGTGGTCATGTGAATGCACACATTTATGACCCAGTACGGTGAGAACCAGGATCAATTTCACTTGATTTATATCGTAATCTTGATGTATTTTTATGTGAATTTGATGGGGACATTATAGGATTCATCTCACAATCATTGGGAAAGCAGCAAATACGCTTATAGTGTAAAACCTGTATTAGAAGAGCCGGTCCTTTTTAAGGTCATTTTTCCAAAATATTTAATTAAAAAACTCAGTGAATTCTCGCCTCAAATACATGAAAACTCATCAATTTCACCAAAATAGAGCAAAAAATTGTTTCAACAAATTCATGGGAAATTTTGAAATTTAGGGAATTTTTTAACTGAAAAGGTGCTGAAATTTTCAATTAAAAAAAAGCAGTTTTTAAGAACCCTCTCTGTTTTTCGAAGCCCTTCTCGTAGGGCCCTTCTATTAGAGGGGACCTTCTATTAAAGGATCCTCTTTTTGATACAAGTTCTAAGGTAAGTAAAATTTTTTCCATTGATCACTTCTTCTCCATTTGTATTTCTTTCGATTCTCCGAATTCTCTCTATTTCCTACTAGTCATGCTTGTCACCTACTGGCTACATTTTCTCATCCACCCATATCACATATTCTGATTTCTTGTTACTCTTTTTTCCAATTTCCCT